GACTGACTGCGCGATAATGGCGATTGCGTAGGTCGACCTTGAAGGTGCATAGTCGGTCGGTGTCCTCTCGTGGACTTTCGTCAGCGTACTGGCAATCTTGTGAACGATTTATCACTCATTGTCTATCATGTCGACAGCGTCATCTTTATCGTTGATCTAAACATTTTTAGATTGTCGTGGTCACACACTTGCACGAGAGTTACTAGTGTCTTAGGCTTCACATTACGGTCGCCACGAGTGGCCGATTGGAATTTTGACGTTGCACACATCTGGCTTCGCAAACAAAGAAATAAATTGATGTGCTTATTGCTGAGCGCGACGATTTTCATTCATTCGTTCAACGGGCAAGTCACGCAAAACTCTCAGTCGCACGCTATATCACTACGTATCATTGTCACTATTACCTGTCATCAGTCTTCTCATATTTGCCATCAGACAATAATGAGACCTGATAAGAAATTTAATTCCCTATACCACTGGCTCAGATTGGTTATCATGTGCGTGTTGCCAGCCATGTCTACCGAGAGGCGCATTTCACAGTCATGAGTATTTGCGGCTGACCGTCACGAGATTGAGTAATCTTGGTTCTAAGCTTAAGATTATGAATGTGGGTCGACAACACGCGGAATTGTATCGTAGATATACAGGATTGCCCAGTATATATCTCGTATACACACTTTCCCATCATGATGAGGATCATACTAAGGATAAAATTTCTTTTGGCATTGATAATATTGCGCAAAAATGAACACTCAATGAGCACTCAGCACGCTAAACGCTACCATGGCTGCTCTTAAGTATTCAGTGATCCCCCATATACCGCTTATTATGGCTCGTCAAGCATCCATTAAAGATGTTCCCCTCGTGATGAATGCTCTGTAAGCTATTATCGATGATATGGCCTGAATGATCTCCGATGAGGGCTATCGCAGTAACCTGCCGAGCACTGACCCGACACCCTGTCCTCGCCTGTGGTAGAAAGGCCGGTCCATTTATCAATGAAAAAGCGTGCACTGCGCATCGCCTCCACTCTGCACGACATACGTACTTCGTGCCCGTTTATACGACCGGTTGGGTTGCACTACCCCGGCTGTAGGACTCGCAATGATGTCTAGCTCATTCCATAAGCTGGACCCGACCCAGTGAGCCCGCAAGCCCAAGATAAATCCGATTTCTATCAATCTAAATAGGATGCCAAACCATCAAAAGTTGTCGCCGCAGTGATGCAGAGCCTTACATACATATGCGTGCGAGGATATTGTGTACCTCAAGAGCGAAACGAGCGCCAGAAAGTTGCTCGGATAACATCGTAGGAGTACTACCTGCGCTTAATGAACCAGTGGTTGGGACGTCCGCGTTTTTTATGAGAGTGGTACCTTGTGTATCGAATGCTGGTGGAAGTGTCAAAACTTTGTAGCCGATTAGCTCACTGAGAAGGAAAACTCGTTGTTCCTGCAATTACAGTTATTGCAAACCAGGTGCATGTCCGACTCAAGTGTCGATGGATGCGTAACTTTGCGACATTTAAAGCACGACGCGAACATCGTAATGAAAAATTTCGGTTCTTGCTCATTGCAGCCTTGGTTATGTCCATTCGACACTTATTTCAGCTACTTACCTAGTCCCAAACTTGCAATTAGATCTAATCCACTCGCTTATGGAAAAAGCGCTATGACGGGCGATGCTGCCTCTATTCTATAAAAGGGATAAAAGTCGAGAGTGCCCCAAGGATACCCGAGCAATCTTGCCGTAGCGGCGTCTTGTAATCTAATGAAAATGATCCCTTCACTTCACCAGATTCTGGTCATAGCCCTGACGACTCGCCATTCCTTTTAAATAATGTTACGAAAAAGTGGACCACTCTTTGCCTATTAAGGAATGCGACGGAGAACGATTCTCTCACAACTAGCTTTCTTGTGGTGTGCGTCAACTTCTCAACGCGCGTCAATTGAGATGAGGTAGATCTCGAATCTGCTCATTAATTTTTGCCATCGCACTGACTGGCTGAAAGCACTCTAAGCGGTTCAGAAAGCGTCGTCGTTTTAAAGTAGAGGGTTGCTCAGCTGCAGGAAATGATAGAGAAACTGTGCCGCCTACAACAGAACGTTCATTTGCGACTCGCTGGTGAAAGCGGTACCATGAAAAGCCTAATCAAACCCACGTAGTATAGGATAAGTCGTACCCTCTTCGATATGTTACGAATATAACTCAATTTTGATTTGCCACGGTCGTAATAGGTTTGACATAGTATAGCCACTGACACGTAGGTAATAGCGTCTTATAGAATTGTTCCCGAACTATATAATAATGTGTGCTTCGCCTACCTTTACTATCAGCGTATTGCTTTTAGACATTTTAGCTCTCACCATAGCGTCGCGCGTCCAACCTATGACCCTCAATATTATTGAAGTAAAGTATGAGATTTGCTTCGAAGTGTATCTAGGTTGATCTCTACAGGCCAAATTGTGCAACAGACCAACAAGACTAGGACCACTGCGTGCTGTTGTCAATGAAGTCCGAGGGATGGCAAAATCGTTCAGAAAACATTAAGTTCATCCAATATTGGCATGCTTTGCATCATTTAGCGCAAATCAGTTGGTAGAAGATTTATCTTCAGCACTGCGGTCTCTAAGTACGCGTGCTTCAACGAATAGCATCTTTACGTGATTTACGCTTTTTGTATGACCACATAAGTAGCGGCTGATATACGCAAGCTGGTGCCTAGCACCCCTATACAAAGCTTCCTAAAATTTTGCTGTATGGCATGAATATCGACTGTCGCTTCCAGCAAGTCATGCTGGATATAATACTTTGGTGAGATCAGCCGATCTGTTCCTTGACACCAATCTTGCTCAGACGGCCGACAAAGATCTAACTTTCGGTTTCATTGGACGCGCGTTCTGGATATTCAAGCACACTAATGGACTGGCTGCCGTTTGGCGAGCCCGACAGGCTGACCAAAGGAGAAAACGCATGCAGCGAGGGCTTAGCCCTTTGACACAAATCACACGTGCGCACATATGTTCTTATATGTTGGACCACCAATTCATAGGGCCCACCGTGCAGAATGCTTTCTATCTTCTGTGGTGACCAAAGATCATGCGACTCGTAAAGTATCCTGAGCTTGAGGTCTTCAACATGAGGTACCTACACACGCCAAGTGCCAAATAAGTCAATGATATAATACAGCAAGCCTTAGGAAACAATAAATAAAAATTGCGACCAAGCCCTTCAATAAAGCGGCATCTGAGCTCTCAAGCTACAGCTTCCTCAAACTTTCAAACAGGCAGCATATGTTACATGACTCGGACGTCGCACCTATCACCTGATTGAATGGCGACGTCGCCATTATGACATGTGATAGTCCATAGCCGTGAAAACGCGAAAGCGCATTCAGCGCTGTATTGAGACGGCCTGGTGAGCAACTTCCTTTAAAGGATTACTTGAAAGTAGCCATCATACCCATCTCTGTGTTGTGGTGGTGGCGATGTTAATGTGCACAGCGGCGCATGATCTATCCGGAGCAACAAGTTGCATTTAAGACGTGACTTGTCCTAAACAAAAAACTGTTGAAAAGACTTGATGACTACTACTATTTATTTGGACGCCTACTGTAATAGCTGAAGCTTGACAGACGATACGAAACGACCGATCTGTACCCGGAAGAGCCAGAATCGGAGCACACATTAGGCTTCATTTGTTATTTAAAAGGCTGCTTTCCCGTCGCGCTATAATTTGAGATCCTCCCTAAGAACATTGGCGAGAGGCTGTGTTAGTCACCACAATTTTCCACATTACTTGTTCAAATATCTGGCCTGACCACGTTTCTCCTTTGGAACGGAGAATCCCAAATAACGAGAAATTTTATCGTTGGGTGATCTAACCGCATTTTATGTTTCCCATGACGTAGCCTAGACAAGGAATCTCAACGACATCAACGATTTATTTGTCGATTTTGGTGAAAAGCTTATTGGAGCGGATACTCTCGAGCACGATTCGTAAGTGCTCGATATAGCACTCCACATCCCTTCTACGCTCGGCACGATTGTGGACAAACACGTTCCATATTGGTCTACACATAGATATGGGCAGTCGCGTCACTATTCAATTAATCGTCACTGGCACGTTCGGCATGCCTTCTGATATGACAGCCACTCCAGATCACCCTGCCCGATATACTCACCGCAATGGTGAAATGGTGAATTTAATAATGGAAATATAAAAGGTATGGTTGAGAAGAATTATGCTATCTTTCATAAGGAGATGAGAGTATTCACTGACTAGGTTATGAGTACTGAACAAAGTGCTACTGATAATATTGCTCTGCACCATATCTTCTTTAGGAATCGGCAGTCTCACCGAACCTTTGATTTCTTGTTTGATGAAGTGACTCACAAAAGATTCCACGAAATACCGTCGTTCATTTTTGTTATGGCAACGAAATGCTTTGAAACACTCAATAGACGATCAGTTTCTCGGTTACAGCGGCCCACTGCTGCTTTGCCTTCTACAATCATTGTTAGATAATTTTAACAAATTCATGCACTTCACCAAACTAAACATGTCTTTGTGGCCACCTAAAAGCGCTTTTACTTATTGATGGAGGCGAACTCGCCGAAACTCCACCGGAAAAGAAGTACATGGCACTTATCCTATTCGACTTCCACTGAATCATATATAACTAGGACAAAATCATATCGAATATAATTATCGGACGCCACAATGATCCACGCAATCAAACCTTCATATTTATAAAAAATGGGACGATTGTACTGGAGACACACAATACGATTTCTGTGTTCGGCGATTCTAATGTTTGCGCGTATTGTCCTAAGTTTTGCACGATACTTTCGAGTCTATTTCGACTTACCACGCTTCACAATGCCCCAACAGCCACGGCCTGTGAGCCTTATCTCTCCTAGTATTGTCTTTTACGCTCGGACTCATTGACCATTACCTTTACGAGATACGAAATGTTTTCCCAGTGAGTGCAGGGCGACCTACCGGGCCAAGGGAGCTTGGTTTTTTTGGGTTAAAGTATTGAGTTCAGCCTCAGTCTTTGCCCTCGATGAAGGCCGCTCGAAGACAGTGTCAACCCATAGGTGTTTCGCACTCAAGTTTCTAGTTGAATATCGAACTCTTAACTCGTTTCTTGATTACTGATGAAAGACCATTTCACGGATTACCTTATATGTCGTGCACTTCTATACATGTACAACCTAAATGTTTGGTGGTATGTTACAGTGAATGGTTCTTGAATGACAATTAAATCGATCACACGTACGAAATCTTCAAGAAAAATTGTTCGAATGGCATAATCTCAACCGTCAGTTCTCGTAATTTAATTGATACATTCTTCGTGGTTAGTAAAGCGAAGGTGCCTACGGTGCGCACGATAGACAAACAACAGCTATCCAACCAAATTCGCAGGCTTAAGATTACTTTATGCGCATGGCATGAGAGGAAGCTGTTATAAAGAGCGCCTCCGAATCTCTTCAGCTACAGCTCTTGCCGTTTCTAGATGGAAAACTCGTTAAAAGTACTCTTGTCTTTCTTGCCCTTGACCTTTGCTTTGGCTTTTTCCTCACGTGCAATTCGCACTGCAGCAGGCTCAACCGCTCTTTTTTTCTTGCTTTTTGCCTTCACAACTGCTTTGATATCCACCACTTCATTGCTAGTGGTCTCAGGCTCGGTCTTTACAGGCTTCTTGCCTTTCTTTTTCTTCTTCTTGTCCGATGAGCCGGAGGCTGCAACTGTCTCAATCTTCACTTTTTCATTTGTATCCTCTTTCTTCACAGCATTCGTGGTCTTGACGCCAAGTTCGGCAAGTGCATCCTCAAATTCCTTCATCTCCAGTTCTTTCTTCTCCTTCTTTGAGAGAGTACGCGCTACTATTGTTTTCTTCGGAGCCACAGCAATCACTTCTTTCGGTGCTTCTTCCTCCTCTTCATCTTCCTCTTCTTCCTCGTCACTCTCACTCTCACTCTCACTTTCGTCTTCTTCAGCTGCAGTTTCTTCTACGGGAGCAGCTGTTACGTGCATCTCATCATCACTATCGTCGCCCCATGCCGATGTGGACGGATTGTTCAGATAATTTGCAAACATTTTGTTTTGTGGTGGCTCGACCGTCTTTTTCTTACGCTCTGGCTGCAACGCCGCAAACGCGTTGCTCTGCGTGCTCATTCTTGATAGAGTCAGGTAGATAAATGTTCAGGATATCCGTCTGTCTGTCTATTTAGTGACTGGAAGGGGGAATGTCGTCAAATATCACTGGGTATTATCCACAATACAAGTTGCTGCTTGCTTGCTATATATGCAGGAGCAACTTTGTCTGGGACGGATGTCATGAGTTTAAGTCTTAAATTTCAAAAGAATATTAAATATAAACATATGTTTTCTATACTTTACGTGCACACTAAAGATTAACGCTAATTTACATTATTTCCATATCCATGAATGCAATTATTGTCCGGTAAGTCAAATGTTCACTCGACCTCAATTATTGGATTCATAATGTAGTTGTAATCGTCTGTAGTTACTGGAATCAAATGCCACGGCGTATTGACGACTCGCTGTCGACAACTGTGCCACTTAACTAGTTTTCCGATAAGTGAGCATTTCTTCTTTTGTGTGTATATACCTCGAAGCTGCCAATGTTTGGTTAATGCAATGCCCATAAAGACTCCTGCCAAAAATCCAGCCACACAAAAGACAGAATTCAAAAACACTCCATCCATGTAACTAATCATAGACAGCGGAATCGTCAAGGGCTCCACTTGTTTCACGTAGCGTTTGTGAAAGTTCATAGCAGCCTTCAAATTACTCACTACTTCCTTAGACACATCGTTTAAGCATTGAGAAGTCGCAGTCCCAAAAAACACGTTTGTTGCGTCGTGAAGTTTCAGCATATTATTGGATCTTCGATTGAGCAGGGGATCAGAGGCCACAATACCGCGTAGCAGCTCTAAATCAGACAATGAACCAACGCGAAGTCTTCGTACATTTACTTGGCTAAGCACGAGGTTCAGTATGCTATAAAAATCGCAAAAGCATGAGCCGATGTCATTGATGATCAAAAGATTTTACATGGACGCACTGTTCGGCTTGATTTGCGCGTTCGGTTGCACGACGTGCACGATTTTGCGCTAGAAGTAGCGCGTCGCTAATACGGCGCATCGAACTCATGTCGAGCTCTGAAATAGTGCGGCGGTGTGCGGGATCCGACATGACTGGAAATTGAGACGCTAAGCTGTTCACGTGCCGGTTAGAATTAGTAGATTTAGGACTTCTAACACATCGAAAACGATTTGCTACTAACTATTATTACTAAGTTACGTAATAATAGCACTTGTCAGCGTGCAATTAAACTAACACCGAAATGGCTACAGAGCTTTTTAAAGTCGCGGAGTCACAATATCCGACGGAGGCGCCGGTGTGAATGGTTTACGCGGCGGGTTCAACTTGGATGGGTCTGGCATCGACTCGGACTCAATTGGCTTTTTCTGCGAAGCCAATTTATCAATTTTTTCCTGTACACGTTGTCCATACTCGGGATCACATTTGGTGAAGTTCGCAATCGCACGGACTTGCACATCCTGCGATGCATTGGCGAGTGACCCGGCAATATTTTCAGTCAAACGTTCACGAGCTGCAGTGTTCAAAGTCTTGCGGTAGAGCTCGCCAACCTGTGAATAGTTGTCGTCATCGTAGGTTGAAAACTTGTCCACAATGGTATTGTCGCTCTCGTGCGTGCAATAACGTCGCGTCGTATCTTCAGATGGGCCATTCTTGCTATTTGGGTAGTAATTAGGTGCATCATGCATATTTCCAATCACCGTCATAAAGCCATCGCGTTGGTACGTCTGAGGCTCTACCAAAGGGCGATTTACTGGTATCTGATTATAATTCACACCCAGACGATAACGTTGGGTATCTGAATAGGAAAAGAGACGACCTTGTAACATCTTGTCGGGTGATGGCTCAATCCCAGGAACCAGATTAGCCGGATTAAAGGCAAGTTGCTCAATTTCAGCAAAATAATTGGTCGGATTACGGTTGAGGACCAAGCGACCGACTTCAATAAGTGGGTACGCTTTATGCGACCAAACTTTCGTCACGTCAAATGGGTTCACAGTCTCTTTTACAGCCTGATCTCGTGTCATAACTTGAATATAAAGCGTCCACGACGGGTATTGTTTGTTTGCAATTGCCTCGTATAAGTCACGAATAGCGTAATCTGGATCCGAGCCAGCAAGTTCCGCTGCTTTGTCCACCGACAAGTTGCGAATCCCCTGATCCGTTTTAAAATGGTATTTGACATACACCATCTCACCTTTAGCGTTTACATTAGCGAACGTATGGCTGCCGTAACCATTCATAAAGCGGAAACCGTCAGGTGTACCACGGTCTGAAAAAAGGATCGTTTGCTGATGCAGTGTCTCAGGACGAAGGGAGAAAAAGTCCCACATCATATCGTCGTCTTTCAGGTGAGTGGTTGGTAGACGCTTTTGCGTGTGGATGAAACTCGGAAAGAGCATAGCGTCACGAATGAAAAAGACGGGCGTATTATTTCCCACTAAGTCCCAATTTCCCTCTTCCGTATAAAATTTGAGAGCAAATCCGCGTGGGTCGCGCACAGTATCAGCGCTGCCTTGTTCACCGCCAACGGTCGAGAAACGAGCTGCCACGGACGTGCGTTTTCCAACGCGATCAAAGAGTTTGGCACTACAATACTGCGTAATCTCTGAGTGCGTCACTTCAAAGTAACCAAAAGCACCACCACCTTTAGCATGCACAACGCGCTCTGGAATCCGTTCGCGATCAAAGTGCGCCATGTGGTCAATGAAGGCGACATCTTGGAGCACCAAGGGGCCTCGTGGCCCAGCAGTAGCAGATGCTGTCAGGCCGTGAAGAGGAATGGGTGCACCAGCGCTGGTAGTTGCAGTCGAGTTTTTGTGGCTCATGATGAATAAAATTGACTTGTATGCTACTTGGCAGATTTAAGAATGAAACGTTTCAAGATCTTACGACTTTTGTGAGAAGATATCGCACATTCGGATGCGACTAAGAAAAATCTTTTTTTGGATCCTTCGAAATCGTGTGGCGAACATGAGTCAGCCGAAAAACGACCACCGAAAACGAAATAACCTCAAACGTAGCGAAAAATTGGTCAAGTCGCACGTGTAGTCACTAAGATTCTAAGAAATTCTCCCGGCAGAGCAAGAATTAGATCACTTGAACCACAGAAGCCACACGGTCTGGCAGATAGGGGTAAGCACGGTGTATATAACGACCAAATGTGCTTAAACAGAACTAAAAAGTTTGAGTTACTTGCCTTCTTAACTAAAAGAACCGTTGCTAAAGGTGAACCTATACCCCGATGGCGTTTTGCAATGCTTTGTAGACCAGCGACCCGCTCATAGCATTTGATAATTCTTTAGCTAGTCGGTTACACAATGTTTGGGTCGTGTAAGGTGAAAGATTTTATGCGGCTTATTCTTTTGCAGATGGATAGATCACGACGTCAAGGTTATCCGCATGTTGCGTGGATAGAGAAGTCGTAGAGTTAGTTGAACCACGTAAACTACGCCATCAGAGTTGATCATGTAGTCGGTCAAAGTACCCCCGGATAATCGTACTGAACAATTTAATTAATATAAGCGTAAATTAGCTGTCAAAAGTAGTCAAAGCAGAGTTCTTCCAACCATGAAGCTCACAAATGCATTGCCAATCACGAGACTTAAATTCACGTGTTCTGTTCGTGATCTTTGGATGGTAAGGCGTATGCCGATGACACCGAACAGCATCCAGCTGCTCGTTTGGTCGAAGTTTCTTCGCAATTGACGCAGAGTGCCTTTGTTTCTTCAGAAATAATCCATTAAAAAAGTTATCGACAATTAAAAATTCGATTTCAATATTCACTTTCCCTGATTTTTTTTGCCTTATCATACACGTGTGTAATACATCGGCAGCAATTTCGTTGATGTTGACAGAGCTGATCTGACGCTGACTATCAGGGCAGCAAGAACTAAAATTTCTGCAAGTGACGAACTTGTTTGAGGTCTAAAAGCTTTGGAGATATTTTTTCGATATGCAGGGTCTTCTTTCCCTGAACGATTTCTTTCCCCACCCGCACCGTTCTTTGTCATTATGTGGAGAAGCTTCAACGACTTTGCAATCTTTATCCAGCTTGTCATTTGACTTGACTTAATTTTGTCTGACTTGATGCGCCTGGACACGATGGCAGACAAATTTGAACGAACACCAGCGGGCTTAGCACTTGTGATGCTCTAATTCTACATACATTGCTTAATCATCATCTACATAATAACAGACTTCTTGACCTTTGTTTCGAGCTCACCAATAGTTCCTTCCCCGCTTCTACTTCTCTTCCTTCGTTGAGCTTATCATTACAATTACACCTGTCTTGCTTCTTGCACAACTAGAATACTACGGTCCCGCCCATTTTGATAACGCTTCATAAAAAAAACAGCCTAATCCACAGATCTCCCGCTGTAATAGATTCCATATCATTTGATGATCTTCCCGCGACAAACTTTGGGTTCTTGATGCTTTTGGAATATCTTTGCAATCTAGATTTAGTCGCACAAGCTTGGCTTGCGATGTTTTTGTGGTCTTACGTAGTGCAAAGCACGTTTCCGTTCGAGTGCATTGAGAGATCTGAAACAGGCCTCTAGTCAATGACTGAAAAATTATTTGTAAAGGCGTTTCCATATGTCACCTGTTGCGTTGATCGCCTATTCGAGATTGCAAAGTTCAATAACTCGAACGCCAAGACATTTCTCTGAATCATGCGTCCGGTTTTTTTTATTTTCTTAACAGCTTTCGCAGTTGACCAAGGAAATCCACATAGACTTTCATCCTTGAAATGCAGGCGCATATCGGTGGTAGACCCGCATAGCACATTTTTGCATGCAAGCATAAATTGCGTTGGAACCCGTAATTGCTTCAAAATGTTGTCACTGATTTCCATTTCCTTCAAAATTTCAATCGAAGTATTTTAATTGCGTCTTTGTCAGCCTCTCCATATGCATTCGGCAGACTCCAATGCAGTTGCAGTACGACCACACCTTGGAGAGTACCAAGATACTCTTGACAATTCCAAGTACCATGACGCAGCGATAGTCAACGTGTACTTCACTCTGAGATGCCATTCATTTTCAAAAACCACCGATCAAACTATATATCGCTAGAATTTTCACATTCAACGGTCTTTAGTTTGAGCACTTACTTGTTACGCAATATGCTTGAATCTATGGGCCGAATAACAATATCCCAAACTTTGTTTTTTCTGAATACTTGCATTTATATAATATACTACATCAAGCCACTTGTTCCTGTATTGTCCGACCAGGATTTAGAACCAGAATCACCAACGCTTAGTTTTCACTTTCCAACAACTTTTTCTAGGGATGTCGGCTAAGCTGCAATCGAAAACTGTACTCCGATGCACTTTCAATACTATGCTTTGACCCTTCACGCTGGAGCAAATGACTCCATACACCAATTAAATTACCGTGCCCAATCCCTTGATTTTTGGACTGTTCTCTTTGTGCACACATCATTGGTAATCTTTGTCTCTGACGCAGGATCATGAATAATCATAGCATAACACAAATGGCCAAGTCTCCTGCGAAATCTCATTGGCTATCTCACTGAACGTACGGGTCTAGGAAAGTCTACTTCCAGACACTTTAACGGCAAAATTTCTATTGCAATGTTAAATGTTCACAACCAAATCGTTATACCATCTCCACGTCTATTGTTGGCATGATTTCATCGCAAAAAAACTAATGCCTTTTCTTCTCTGACACCCCAATGCACGTCACTCTTCCATATGAAGAAGTTCCGTGCAATGACCTTTAGTTTGCCGCATTTCCTTCTTATGACCCAATGCTTCGTATCTGATCGTGACACTTCCACCTTTGCTCTCTAGTTGTTTACAGTTGTCATGAAGTCACTCAAGAAGTCGATTGCATCCTCAAAAAACGAGATTGATACTGAATACTTGATGGATCTACTGTTCATAATTTAAAAACTGCTACTTTTGTCATTTCGACTTTGTTTGTCAGTGCAAAATCAGCCTCTTTACGACTCGATGGTTCTGAGGGCAAGCCGCATCGATTACCCGAATTTCTGCATTCAAAGCATTTTTTCACTCTAAATTGGCATTTTCACGTTCTTTTAAAAGCGACTCAAGCACAACATTGCTCGCAAGCGAAGCGTCGATTTTGATTGATTGAGCATGATATGCCTATTGTCCAGCTTGCTGATGTGCATCTATCTGGATACCATTGTCTTTCGCATGCTAGTATCGGCATAATAAACAATGATTCAATTGTTGTGTGTAACTCTTAAAGCTCATACTACGCCCTTTGTACAACTCCTTTTCGTCGAAATGCAATGATCCCAGACTTCGCTGTCTAGCGTCTAAAGCATCATGGATATAATTTACATTTTGTTTTTGTGGAATTATATTACGATACAACAATATATGAGCACCAGACATGCCGCAGGCGATGTGTTTGGAGCCATTTCAAGAATTGGACAAGATCGAATGCCTGATCGTTCATTTTTCCAATTCCACCAAAGGCAGACTTAAAGTCACTCGACTCAATTGAATCTATTCTTTTCCATCGCGCGACTTCTCCGATTTTGCTGTCGAGAATCTTAACGACCTTGTCGTGAATATTCAATTCGAGAACCTTCTGCTCTCCAACAATCGGTTTTCATGAGATCCACGATTGTTGACCACTTGAGCTGCTCCAAAATAATCAAACCCCGTCGTTGGCGTTAGATTTTGTTAATGTTGGACTTGTTGAAGCGGAATTTAACATATTTAGACCAATATGATCTTCAAGCTTGGCGACTATGAAAAATAAACATCGCTTGCCTCCTGTATACTTCACCCTCACTTTCAGCATAGATGTCTTGACCGAACTCGTACTTGTACTAGACTTTCAATTCTCACGAACTGCTAATAAGATTATGCTTCCCGAACCAATTATCCAAGGTCCAGCAAAGCGACCGTTGCGATTGCAATGTACTTGACCCTAACTAATATTCAGAAGACAGTCCTCTGTCTGAGATGGTGCTCTTTGGAATATAAACTCGTTGGTTCATTCCGCAATTTCGGCATTAATCTCTTTTGAAAAATTTGTAGCACGCTAATAATGCGGAGTCACTTGTAGTCACTCTTACCTTCTACAAAAGCAGTTCATAACCATTTGCATGTGCACTTCCAGTCAAAATTGTAGTACGCTTGCTGTTGCTCAAGCTGTCAAAATAATCACATCAATCGCTTCTTACATTTGTTTTCAAGGTGATCTACAACAGCTCGCTTATAATAGCCAGCTTATAAGCCAAAATTGTACTACGTGTCAGACAACACCACACATGCTTTGTCTTTCTTGTGGACGTCTGCTCAAAATTGGTATACCAGGATTTTTTTTAGTTAAAGCGCTTTAGTAGATGATTATTAATGCCTTACATCACCATTTCTTAATCTTATCATCCTTAACACTAGTACAACACTTTACGATGGATCGCTTAAAGCATGTGCCGCCAGTTGTTCCTGCAGTTCATTCATATCTTGATTCCAACTATCTAACCAATTGTAAGCTTCTGATAATATTTTGACCTCTTCGTGATTCTTTTGTTCGCCGTTTATATCAATTTCCAAATGCTTTAACGCAATCAAGACACTTTCACTTCTATCACCGAAAAGAATGTGACCAAGTTTCTCAATTTCAACGTCTTGGCGCCAAATACGATGACAGAACAATCTAAACGCTCGAAGCAAGATTCTTACATCGTCTCTTTCTGAAACTTGAATATGTATCCATTAGTACAATATTTTTCATTTGTGTAAGATCATGCTTACCTATTGCTTCTGCTGCTAGTCGAATGAGTTGCTGTCGGTTTTGCTTGACCAAATTTTGATCATCATCAAAGCGATTTAATACCAGAGGCTGCACTAGACTTCGCACAGATTTCTCGACACTACTATTTCCTTCTTGCCATTGACTCGCAATCTTTCGTACATCCGGCTGCACTCGCACGACTATTTGCGAACTACAAGTTTTGACTAAACTCTGATGCGTAACACCACATAATACACTGATCACAAGTGGCTCGTGAGCAGCAAGTGCGTGTCGAATTTGAATAGTCAAAGTTTTTAAATGAGATGGCGGCATACATAAGATCAACACGTCACTCTCACGAGCTAATCGTGCATTATTATAATATCGAGATACCGATTGATACATTGCCATATCTAATGATGATTTCAATGCATCACAACGAGGAATTCGATCTGGTTGACGAGTAGACACTGCGATTCGATCGCTACTATATCCATTAGTTAATAAGGTCATAACAATTGTCGCTCCAACAGTGCCACCTCCACAAATTCCAACTTGAGGTGGACTTTTCTTGATTTCAGCATAACATTTCGTACAAGCAAGCACCAACAAATATACTTCATGAGCAATAACCTGAATAGCTATAGATCGAGTATGGTACAATAATTGTGTCTTGGAAGCTAGACGGGTGGAAGCCAATAACTCTGGACGAATTACAAATGGTTCAATGAGATCTTTGTTATGTGAACTTGTCATACTTTTTGAAGGTACTGAAGATGGAGAGGTTGGACATGATAAGGAAGTTGGAAGCGATGAAGGACTTGTCATGTTTATCGAGCTAAAGGGTCGGAAAAAAGTTATTGTAGTATACAATAATTATTTACTCCAAGCTCTTATATCTATTATCAAAGTTTGTACCGAATAATGACACGACTGATCCCTTTCTGTGTGCACAAAACATACACATTTCGACAAACCCTGTCCGAATCGTTACACTGATTCTACGATTACACTGGTCATGTGGAAGCTCCACGCTACGTTTCGCCCTAAGATGGCACTCACACTTTCGTCTCGATGTCGTGCATCAAGTACATCCACAATCGATAATGGTAAAGTACCAATTAACAAACTTTTCATTACATCGACGGAAGTGACGAAAAAAACGGCCCCCGTGCTGATTGGCCTGACCAACACTCTGGAGCAAAAGTTTACACGCGTGGGGTACTTTCGTCCAATTCAGCCATTAGATAAGAGTGATCATCATATTGAAGTGATGAAGCAACAACTAGGGTTGACAAAGCGTATTGACGAACTTTACGGCGTGACTAGTGAACGTGCGATTGATTGCTGGCTGCGTGGCAAAGCTGACGACTTGGTGGAAGAGATTCTCGATCGATACGAATCTTGTCGTGAAGGTCACGATTTTATGCTTATTGAGGGGTCGCAACTTGCCACTCATCAAAGTGCTATGAGTTGGAGAATGAATGTTGACATTGCCAAAGCCATTGGCTCCCCTGTCTTGACAATATCGGACTTTAATGAATCTTGCAATACGGACATTAACACATTAGTGGACGAGTTATTGTCTCGCACTGCACTTATTAAAGATCAAGTTGAAAGTGCAGGTCTCAATTATATTGGCAATATCGCCAATCGTGTGACAATTTCAGATGCTCAAGCTCTACGTAATGCTCTTCGCTTAAAAGTACGTGAAAATGACGTTCCATTTCTCGGATTCTTACCAAACGACGAGTTTATTGCTTCTAAACGCTTGAATGAAGTAACACATCAACTTGGTGCGACGCAATTATTTGGTACAAATGCTATTCCCAATAATATTGTCGTTACGTCCGCCGTTGTTGCAACAAGTGCATTAAAAGATCTATTTGCACATTTAAAAAATTATAAAGATGGAGCATTAGTGATAACATCAGCTGATCGTTCTGATGTGATGCTTGGTCTCATGGCTTCTCGTTTGCCTGGAATTTTGCCCAATGTCTCAGCTATTGTATTAACGAATGGCAGTTATCCGCATAGCAATACACACGAAATTCTCCAAGGTGTTGAAGCATTAAATCAAACAGGACTGTCAATTCCTATCTTTTCAGTACCAGAAGACACATTCACTACCGCCTACAAGTTTGCACAAGTCTCAACTGATATTTTACCAACAAGTTTATTGAAAATTGACCGTTCAAAACAATTATTTGATGAATTTGTTGAAACGGAAAATTTAATTGGTGAATTAAATGAAGGAATGGTGGACAATCGATCTCCAAAACAATTTCAACATTATCTTTTTCGTAAAGCACGAACAGTTGAGCGTCATATTGTATTAACGGAAGGACAAGATATACGTGTATTGCAAGCTGCGGATCAAATTTTACGTCAACAGTTAGCAAAAGTGACAATTTTAGGTGATAAAGATGAAATTGAGCGTCATGCAAAAGCTTTGGCACTTGATTTGTCAAATGCTTCGATCGTCGAGACAGCAAAGAGTCAAAACTTGGATACATATGTCAATCGATACTATGAAAAGCGTAAACATAAAGGTGTAACTCGTGAATCTGCTCGAGATGCAGTATTAGAAGAAACGTGTTTTGGTACAATGATGGTGGAAATTGGAGATGCAGATGGAATGGTCTCTGGTGCGTGCCATACAACGGCTAATACAATTCGTCCAGCTTTGCAATTGATTAAAACGGCACCAAATCGACCGATTGTATCAAGTATCTTTTTTATGTGTCTTGAAGATGGTGTGCGTATTTATGGAGACTGTGCGGTGAATACAGACCCAAATGCTGAGGAATTGGCCCAAATTGCAGTTACAAGTGCCGAAAGTGCCGAAGCTTTTGGGTTAATTCCAAAAGTAGCTTTGCTTTCATATGCAACTGGTGATTCCAATTCTGGACCAATTGTTGATAAAGTGCGTGAAGCAACAAAAATTGCGCAACATTTGCGTCCAGATTTGGACATTTATGGTCCAATTCAATACGATGCTGCAGTGGATGAATCAATTGCTAAGACAAAATTAAAGGCCATTCCAAGTGGGGCAAAAGTTGGTGGACAAGCGAATGTATTGATTTTTCCTGATTTAAATACGGGCAACAATACATACAAAGCAGTACAACAGAGTACTGGATGTATTGCAATGGGTCCAATGTTACAAGGATTGCGAAAACCTGTGAATGATTTAAGTCGTGGTGCGACGGTCAAAGATATTGTCACGACAGTTGCAATTACTGCAATTCAAGCTGATCAAATGATTCGAAAGCGTGAAGACGATGCAATTGCAGCTGCAGCTTAGTTGAGAATGGTAAGATGCTAAAAGAAGCAGGATACAAAATTTAAGGGTTACGTCAAATTGGTTACTCTCGTCTTCACATAATACAATACATGAAAACCCTCTTTTTGTTATTTATAAGCCTCTAAGTCATAAATTCTAGTCGTTTCAAAAGCTCTTCAACATGCATTTCTTCAGGTTCCTTCTCTTAGTCTTCATATGTTCACGTGGCACCTTATTTCTAAATGCATTTAGCTGTGATGGAGGATGTAGTGAACATGGTATATGTGAACATTCAACAGGTCGTTGTATCTGTTTTCCCGACTTTACTGGAGCTACTTGTGCTTCTAGACTTTGTCCAATGGGAGCTGCATGGGTCGATCGAGCATGGACAATTGATAAAGCGCATCAACCAGCAGAATGTTCAGCAATGGGTCGTTGTGATCGATTAACTGGAATTTGTATATGTGAATCAGGATTTGAAGGTTTAGCATGTGAACGACTAGCATGTCCAAATTCATGCTCGGGTAATGGTCGATGTGTGAGTATACGCGATGCCGCAGAATTGTACGATGATCGAAATTTCTTTGTTCGTACAACATATACATTATGGGATGCTGATAAAATTATGGGATGTCAATGTGATCCTGGATATATTGGATTTGATTGTTCTGAACGTGAATGTCCAAAAGGTGACAATCCATTCACAACAACGACTCAAGATCATGCTATACAAGAGTTGACGTGTATCTGTAATAGCTGCAGTGGTACATTTACGCTATCATTTCAAAGTCAAGTGACGACGAATATTGCAGCTACAGCTACGTCAAGTGATTTAAAAATGGCGTTAGAAACACTAGACAATATTTATGGTCTTGATATTGTAAGTGCTACACCACTTTGTTCTAATAGTGGCACAACGACTTCCATTACATTTACCCATAATCCTGGTGATGTCCCATTATTGCAAGTTAAAAGTACGTTAAATAGTGGTACCATTACTTTAATTACAAGTCAAGTGGGAACTCGTGAAAATGCATATTGCTCAAATCGTGGTATCTGTGACTTTGCCACTGGAGTATGCAAATGTATTGCAGGATTTACAAGTGGCAATGGCGGTTTGCCACCTTTGCCAGGCAGACGAGGCGATTGTGGTTATCCACTAGGAGCTCCTATCTGTCCTACAACTAGCAATGGTGTATGTGATAATAAAGGCACGTGTTCTAGTGGAACGTCATACGAATGTATATGTTTATCAGGATTTACAGGATACGATTGTTCGCTTCGTGAGTGTCCAAAAGGAGCTGCTTGGTTTGATGGTGCAACAGCTCCTGATACTGCACATGCACTGTCCTTTTGTTCTAATAAAGGGAGATGTGATACGACAACAGGACGTTGCGTTTGTGTGGCACCATTTACTGGAGCAGCATGTGACCTAATTCAATGTCCAAGTGGAACGTCGTTAAATTCAGGGGGTTCTTGTAGCGGACGTGGCACCTGTAAAAATATTCAGCAACTTTCTTTAGAAGCAAAAGATCATGCAGGAAATTTACTGGGTGTAACATATGGTGCCATTCCAAACACACTTGCAACATGGGATGCCACAAAGATTCAAGGATGTGATTGTGACTTGAACGATTATTTTGGACCATATGAACTTGCTTATGGTGACCTGATGGGAGGACACGATTGCAATGTACGCACGTGTCCAAGAGGAGCAGATCCGTTTGAAAGTGGTAAAGTGAATGAAAAGCAGACGATCAATTGTATAGCAGACGGTGGCTACTTTACACTTACGTTTCGACAAGAGACGACGCTAGTAATTCCATTTGATGCTAATGTTGCGAGAGTTCAAGCAACATTCGAGACACTACAGAGTGTACGTGGTGCTATTGTAACTTTTGACACTGGTACAGTTGCATGCTCTGCTACCGGCGTTGGTACGTAGTGAAAATGATATTGATTGTCTACTATTATTGTATAACACAATATATTGTAGTGATCACGATCGAGTTTACATTCATGCAAGGTGACTTGCCGCTGCTAAATATTGACACGTCAGGTCTTACTCTTAGTGGGAATCCAACAACCTTGACGGTTGCAGAGCTGGTTAAGGGAACTAAGGCCAATATTGAGTGCTCAGCACGTGGAATTTGCGGTATGTTTAATATTACAATAATTAAATCTTTGTTGCTAATATATTGCAATTTCACTTGATCATGAGTAGACCGAGGAACTGGAATTTGTGCCTGCTTTCCATATTTCCTCAGCTCTAATGGCGCAGGTGGTCCTGGCCGTCGTGGAGACTGTGGCTTTATCTCTCCTTATCCCAGCACAACGATTTCGTAACTTAATGAGTACATGTCCTAACAGCTTGATATCCACTTTGATTATTGTTGAATTATTGTCATACATGAGAGATTATTGAAAGCAAGTTCATTAAGACTACGTAGTCGGTAATCTTTAACAAATCCATATTCTATCATTTGTTCTATATCAACATCTAAGTTTCTATTCGTAATTGAGATATGCAGTGTTCAATCATGACACGCTCGCGACTTGAAATCTATTCGATTTTTAACTCATATACCATTAGCAACCTCCAAAGAAAGTAGAGAATCCAACCATTTCGCCTCCTTATGCTGTTGTTATTAGAGTACGAAGTTGTTTCCAATTTAATGCATTAGAATCAAGTAATTGAAAGGAAAACTCGAGCGGATTCGATCGATAGCCAAGATACCCAAGGCGTCCACAATAGATGTAAGGACCCTACAATAACAACAACATAAGTCCAATACGAATTACGAAGAATCAATAAGATTAGAAACTTTACCTTTGGATACTGCAAAAATAGCAAGAGTGGTTCCGAATTACTTGACTCTGGAGTATCGTAGTAATTATTGTCAAAACGAAGCCATTCTTCACCTTTCGGAACTTGACGTAGTCGTTCTAGTATCGATGGCGTGACCTCTTCACAACGACTCCATCGAAAGAAAACAAACTTACGATCACGTAACTTTGCTTCTTCAAACATAAAACGATGAAACATTCCTGTTGTTCCATTTACGAATAACGTAAGTGCATTATTCCAAACTTGAAGATCACGATATCTTTGAAATATAGCAGTATAACCTCCTGGAGCAAGACCTTGCATAACTGTTTGTTTCCCAGGAGGTAAAAACTGCTTTCCAAGTGAGAATCCATGGAAGAGCTTCGTATCAATTTTAAGCACTGCACTTGGTTTCCTAACATTTTGTATCGTCGGCTGCGAAATGCGTACAAAAGGAAGAGCAATCTGTCGTACCGGGTACATTTCTTGATGAAACTTTTCGTCTTCAATCATTTCCATTTCTCGCTTCTGTAACCTTTTTCTTAAAAGTCGAAACACAATCCTTGCAGCATCTCGTTCAATTTGAAGTCTCTTCTTCTCTTCTTTCTTTTCATGCTTCATTAATTCACGTACAATAAAATCTTCGTGCTTCATCAACTCTAACTCTTCAAAACGCTGTTGTTTCTCAAATTCTTTAAGAAAAAACTTCTCCAATTTTTTTCGAGCTTTCTGCTCCTTCTTCTGTTCAATTTCAACAGCTTTTCGCTTCTTTTCATCTTCTCGTCGTTGTCGTCTCATCATTTCAGCTTGCATTTTTCTCCTTGCTCTCCAATCCAAACTCTTCGGTGGTTCTTCTTGTGTACAAATCTGCTCATTTGTCTCATGTTCCAATATTTGAGCAGTTTTCGAACGTCTCTTTCGTTCTTTTCTCTCCAATTTAACAGTGTGCTGTCTATCATATCTGTCAATAACTTGATGTTCTTCTTTAATCGAGAATTTCTCTTGTCGACGTTGGCATTGACGCGACGATTTTCTCGTTGGATTTTGCAGTTTCTCATTGACATTTCGCTTTCGTTTCTTGTCTTGAAATTGACAAGATGGTGATTGAATGATCGGAAGGTCAAGAGCGAGCAATTTTTCGCGATTCTCTTCAATGCGACGCTCACGCTTTGCTTCGTACTCACTTAAATCATTCATATTAAAAAATGATTGGCTGAACGAACAATATTTTGAAATTCACAATATTATTGTATTACTCAATTATTGCTACAATCTAAACGTCAGGCTTATTCGATTGTTCTGACTGACAGAGAATTGAATAGAGTGCTTTCCAATCCATTGACGCAATGTCCATGAGCTGCCATCGAAATGTGGTGGCTTGCATTTTGTAGCCGAGGTATTGAATGCGTCCACAATAAATATATGGTCCCTTTCACAATATAAAACAACTCAGCATTGTTAGCTATAGAATCCTCACTTTCGTACACCAGTGATACTTACTGTCGCATGTTGTAAGAATAGAAGAACGGGAGTAGTACAAATTTCTTCGCTTGTATCATACGAATCATCAAGTTTTAAATCTCTTCTCCCTCGTTCTACTTGATGCAATCGTTGTTGTATTGCTGGTGAAATATCCGAGCAAACTTTCCAGTCAAAGACAACGTCATTAGGTCCATTTGTGATCAATTTATTGTACTGCAAAGTACAGTCTTCACTTCCAAATAATGTCAATGCATTTTTCCATACAATAACATGATTATTGTACGAAACACGCGTTGTGATACCAGAAGGACATAGTGCTTGAATCACTGATTGTTTTCCCATTGGTAAGATTTGAATCCCAAGACAACGTGAATGAAACATATCAAGTTCAATTTCTATCGATGTACTTGATAATGTCTGCATCATTGTAGCTTGACATGTTTTTCTTAATTGACATGGATAGACAAACGGCAACTGAAGCTGAGGTGGATATGTCTTTAAAGCTCGTTGAAACTCTTGCTCTTGCTCAAGATCCCATTGTTTTGAATTCTGCTTTTCCTTCAAACGACGTTTATCGTGTACAACTCTTGGTCTTGAATTTCCTCGTAGTCGTGACGTGGTATACGATGCTTTTACTTGTGCTAGACGTAAAGTTTGTACGCGTCTTGACCTTCTCACTGGCTCTATGGACTTTGTCATCTTAAGCTCACGAGTACGTTTTACACAGTGTGAAAAGCGTTCAAGATTAAGTGACTGTAACATTCGCTGATTCGTTTCAATGCGTCGTAAGCGTTTCGCTTCATAATCACCAAGACAAAGAGCATTATCACTCATGACGAACAAATTTGATAAAAACAAATCTAATAGTCTGATATTATCCGAATTTTTACAATGGAAAATGAGTTTGAAATTCAGCCTAATTTCACCTATTGATCGTGAATATACTGACTCTGGACGTGATGATTGATCGCTACTCCCGCTAAGATAATAAGAATCGTACTGACGAAGAGAATTCCATAAATAATCAGCATATACAGAACATCTCCTTTCACCGGAATCTTCTTAATCTGATTCAATATATGTCGGAGTCGACCAACTTTCTTCACATCGACAACTTTGGCACCGTCAATGATTTCTTTCTCAGCGTTTGTAGCTTCTCTAGTGGCTACTGCACTAAATTCAGTCGTAGCTGCTCTAGCGGCTTCTGCACTAATTTCAGTCGTAGCTGTCGAACGAGGCCCTTTCCAGAAAAATGGAAAACTGAGTCGTTCTTCGTCCTTTGTCTTGATACTTGATCGTAAACTGTTTTCTTTTTTATCTTGGTCACTAGTTCTCATGTGAGATTCTGAATCGATACTTTGAGTAGCAATGTCATTGTTGTGAAGACCATGAAGACATGCTGCATAAGAGAAGAAAAGCAAGAGAAGAAGAGAGAGATGACGCATGATCATCTCTTAATTGAAAGTGAGCTGAGTATTGTCCCGCTCTTCCTTGAGTCTTAAGAACCGGTTTTGCCACATGGATGTACCTTCAAGTACCGCATCAGAAATGAAGCGGCTGTTTTAAATAGTGACATGTACAATTGAAACCCTATATAAGCATAAACGACTATTTTGAAGACACATGATTATTGACAAAAAAATAAAGATTACACAGACTTTACCACGCTGATAAGTAGGTCTTTTTTTTGTATCGTTGTTGAATAGCGTTACAATTATTGTTGGTAGCACTATGATTTTCAGAGCTGCAGCGGATATTTTCGTGACTCAACCATCTCTATAATTCTTTCAATTAGCATATGTTATGAGACCAGTAATGTTCTTACAGTATTGATTTGGGAATAGTACTGAGAAATGGGTAAAGAAATTTCTTTAAGTCTTGTAAATGAGCACTTTTCCTGCAAAACAGCAAATCAATCTTGCTGTTCAGTAACAGTGGATACTTTGTAATTAGTTTACAATTCAGAAAAAATTTCGGACCAGATAGAGCCCATGTATACTTTACCAAAATGGTGTTCTCAGTGTGTCCATGTCCCGAATTAATGTAATATCAACTTTGAAATATCTACAGATATGAACTAGCCATGCTAAGTTTACTATTCGTACTCTGAAGCCCCACGGACTGCTTCAGACTTGACATTGTCTATATGATGACGCAAGATGATACTTTGGTCGCAACAACTGAGGTGGACAGTCATTTTGATGCCGTATTTGACCAATGTGGTTTCTCAACAGAAACTTTTGAACACCGTTCCAATACCCGGAAAGAGCTTCTCGTAACGAGCTTAATTGCTGTTATGGAGGAAAATATGGCTGGCAGCCTGTTGAGCACTCGCAAGTCCGATTTGAACTTTGCCACGACATGCCCAGTTCTGCGCTGAGCTAAAGCAATTTCCAGTAGCTAGTAAAAGTCGATTTACTATGCATTTTATTATCTGATTTATATCACTAAAATATCCACAATATATAAATATATATTTACCATATCATATTGAATGAGAGAAATATATGCGCAGAACTAACAGCTCTCATTACAATGAGTGTTATGTGTACGTACAAAAAACTACATTCGTGCCCTTTTAGACTTTTTCCCATCAAATTGTGGACCACAGTGGGGCTCTGCAGCGGGGCTGCCGTAGCTCGTTGCTTGGAGGGAAGCAAAGCTAAGGTCACCGACCTATCGTTCTTTTAAGGAACCCGTACAAATGTAACGGATCGCAATCCGCTACTTTTAAGTACGAAAGCCTCACCAAGGAAACTGCTTAAAACTTTATTTTATTGTTATAGTTGCGACAGATCTGGCAATATTTGAAACCTTTGGTTCTCCTAATTAATATAGTAATAACTACTCAATATAGCAATACCTAAATCATATAGTAATATCCATTACTACTGGCGATTGACTTCTTATGACGGTGTAGCCACACCACTATGTAATAACACTAATTGTGGAATACACACCACTGTACGGTCGCACAAGATTGTGCGACCCGCCCTTCATCACAAGGGTACAT